CAGCTCTGGTCCCAGCTCCAGGCACAAGGGGCTGCACAAGCAATTCCCGCCAGCTCCCACAGGGGCCATTTCCACTCCCAGCTACCCCAGATCCTCTGCCCCATAGGGACACGGGGGGAATCACACCAGTGCCCCCCCCAACAATGGAGGCTGGTTCTGAGGACCCTAGACCCTGACTAGGCACTGGCTATCCTGAGAGACCCAGGTAGCCCACCTGTCATCACCAGACAAGCACCTCACACACACTCAGTGGGTCCCAGCCCTCACTGTCATGACCTGCAACTCAGAGGGCTCAACAGGGAGCCCTCCCCCCAGAGGCCCACACCCCACCTTGCATTGGTGGCAGGCTCCCACAGTGCCCCCAGCACAAAGTCAGCAGCTTGAAACTGCATCCCTCAATACCTTCCCAGGTTTTTCTGCACCCCCACTCCCTCTCCAAGAATAGCTCACAGTCCAAATCCCACAATGAATGGGGAAACTGAGATCCCAGAGGAAGGGATGGGAGGCCGTGGGGAATAGGGAAAGAAAGGGGCGCTGCAAGGGCAGAATCCGGCTCCTTCCTGACCTGCTACGGGCAAAGTCCACATTGGCTACACCCTCCACTACCGCTGGGCTGGGGCCAGGGGCTGGCTGCCTCCCTTCGAGCGCTCCTTGCCCCTGGCTGGGCCCCCTCCCTCCCTTCTCCCTCTTCAGAGCAGCCCTCCCTGCCCTCTCCCTCCCGCCTCTGGCGCTCTCATCCTCAGCTCTTGGAAGCCTGACTCACTGTTTCCCCTCCTCTCTCCCCTCCCTCCCTCTCTCCAGCAGCGGCGCCTCCCCCTCCCCTGGGGGGGCTTTGGCCACAAGGGTGCCTGCCTGCTCCTATCCCCAGGCTCCAGCCCCCCTCCGCACCTAGGAGTCCCCCTGCAGCTGTTCCAATTCTCTAACTAAAGCAAGGTGGCACACAAGGAGCCCAGGTCCCAGGCCTGGCCCTGCCAAGAATCTCTGCTATCCTGGGCAAGAGGCTCCCCTCTCTGGACTTGGTTTCCTCCTCTGTCAAACAAGCGGAGGAGGTCCAACTGGATGATGCCCCCACATCCCTCCCCCAATCACCAGCGTCTCTGTGGACCCTAACGATCCTGCTTGTATAATGCCAGTGCCTTCCAAAGCAGGGCACCAACAACCTGTGGGGCGCCGTACCTGCCTCAAGCCCTACCTCCAGGTCCAAGAAGAGCTCCAGCCATTTGGGGAAGGCAGAGATGTGATGCTGCCCTCATGGGCAGAAGCAAAAGCCAAAAGGCAAAAGACCCCTGGAATCCCCCTCTCTCCCCCTTCTCCCTCCTCCTACTGCAAGTCTTCCCCTCTCTCTCTCTCCCCACCTGTCCTCCTCCCTCTTTCCAGAGACATCTGCTTGTCTCTCCTCCAAAAACAAGCCCAGCATTTGAGCTTGGGTGAAAGGCCCTCAGTCCCACTCTCGTTTCTGGCCGCGGGGTTGGGGGGTAGGAAGTAGTATATGCCAGGTCTTGCTCCCCGGACCCCACCTCCAGGGGCTGTGATCCTGGCTCTTCTCCTTGCCTGTTTACTTTCTCACCTCTCATCACTGGCCTCCATCTCCATCTTTCCCTCTCTCAACCACCGCGCATGTGGCAGTCTGGGTCTCTCTCCTCCCCACCCCCTAACTTCCCCCTGCTCTCTCCCTGGGGGAGCCCATCTGCTGGCATTAGCAACAATGTTACCCTTGCTCCCTCCTACTGGTCCCCAGCTCCACCCCATCCTGGCTTCCTGCTCTCCCTCCCTGTGTCCCAAGAGGCCCAGGGGACCCAGAGACAGAACTGGGCTCCATCCCATAATAGTGAGTTTGCTTGATCTCACCCAGCCAGACCAGAAGGGCCTGGGCATCTGGTACAGCAGGCACAGCAGCCCCTGGGTCTTGGGTGGCTGGCATGAGACACAGAGTTCTGTATTCCACAAACCAAAAAAAAAAAAAAAAAAGATGAAGTTGACCTGTGTGGAGGGGGGCAGGGAGAGGGAAACAGGGGAGAGGCAGGGGGGTGGGGGTGGGGTGGCGTGTAGCTCAGGTTTGCCTGGAGGAAGCCCCTGTCCAATGGGGAGCCGAGGCACAGAGGAGGAAGTGGTTCAAAGTCAGTGCTCCAGGCTGAATCGAGACCAAGAAATGTGTTTCTGGAGCTCTTGCCAGTCCAGAACAGCCCCCCTCCCCAAATGTCTTCTGCCAGGGACAGTCTGCCCCTCAAGCCTCCAGCACAGCCACAACAATCAGGTGGAGACCCCATCCCTTAATCTCCTTTAGAATCCAAGTCCTATCTTCCTTCAGTACACCTCCACTTAGCTCAGCAGTGTGTTCCAGAATCCTCCTTGCCAAGATCAAATCATGCAGAATGGGGGGGAACAAAGCCCCCCAGCTCCCAAACCCTTCACCAAAGGCCCCATCAGAGGCTGGGGGGCAATGCAAAACAATCCGGGGATCCTCACACCTCAAAACTAAGAAGCTAAGCTGTCCATCCATAGTACCTGAGGCTGTTGGGGGCTCCCTGCCCCCACGACCTTGCTCCAGACCCCCCAGCCCAGTAACCATAATAAACAGCAAGCTCTTTTTCTTTATGACACCAAATTTCTCCAAGCCCAACAGTTCCTTCCATCACTACCTCAGCCATAGATCACATTAAAAACTCACAGAGGGCAACTTAAACACATCACATTTGTTTCTCTCTATATTATTTCAAAAGTAACGGCATTAAAAATGGATTTTACTACAGAAAATAAATATCAGCACGTGGGCCAGGAGCCCAGGCAGGGGCGGGGGAGACAGCCCACCAGGGGAATGTCCCTGAGGGTTTGCGCACAGTTTAAGCACAAACCAAGGGGGTGGTTGAGGAGACAGCTACATCCTGGGGCATGGGGTGACGCCCGGGGAGGGGGCAATGCCTGCCCTCCTGGGCACCTGCCCCAATGCCAGACCACAAGAGAGAAAAGAATCACTGGTTTAGACTGGTGCCTGCTAGTCCCCCAAAGCTCATGCCCTCACTGGTCTTTGCAACCTCTGGAGGGTAGGAGCTGTGGGGCGAGAAGTTCACCAGTCCCTGGGGGTTACTCAACTATTGACATAGCAGGGGAAAAAAAATGAATTCAACTTACTATCCAGTTTGATTTTCCATTACTATAAAAATAAATATACATCTGCTCAAAGGAAAGAGACGGCAAGCAGCATGCACATGCCACCTGGGGAATCCCCCCACAGCTCACCACCACAACCCAGCTGGGCACCCTCCAGCCAGGAGATATGGGCAGGGGTAGGGTGGTGGTGGACAGACTGGTGCTCTCTCCCTCATAGCCCCAGCTCACTCTGCCACAAACACTGGGCCACACAGAACAGGAACAAGCCAACAATAGAAACACCCCAAATGCTCCTGGCAGGACTCTGCCCAGGCCTGGGCACATGCTCCTGCCCCGCCAGCGGCAGCAGCGGACAAAATGTGGCCACCCTGACCCGGAGGCAAAGCTTGTCCTCACACCCTGAGCTCTTCCCAGGGAGCTGGGGCCAAGTCCCGCCTGACACCAACTGGTCCGGCGGGAAACGCCTGCCCAGCCAGTCGGGCACAGGCCCCCCAAGGGTCCCTCCTCATGCTCAGGGACCCAGACTGGCGCAGCATGGCCCTACCTCCCAGAGTGACGCCTGGGCCCAAATTCAGCTGGCCCTGCCAGTCAGGCACTGGTGCAGAACGGAGGGCACCAGGCTCAGCCCCTCCCAGCCCAGCTCCCTGGCCCCCAAGCTGGGAGGGAGGACAGACTCCCCATCCCTCCACATCTGGCCCTGGCCCCCAGGGTCTGTGGTAGAGAATTCCCGCCCCCGCTTCTCTCTCTCCCTCCTCCCTCTCTGTGCCCGCTGCCCGCCTCAGGGACAGCCCCAGCTCCCGCCTCCGGCCAGCAAGGCCCACATCCTTCCTCCTTCAGCTGGCCTCTACGCCTGGCAGGAGGCTGAGGGGTCAGGCTGCTGGGAGCCCCCCCAGCTCCCATCAGTCCTCATCCCCAGCCCTAAAACTCTTGGGTTGCTGTCCCTTTTCCTGTCGAACAGGAAACAAGGTTATTTCCTAGACTCAGAGCCAGCCCCCCTGCCCCTCTGGCTCTGCCAGAGGACCCGGACCCAGCAGGGAAAGGCGTCCTCAGCCAGAAAGGCAGGGATTCAGCAATTCACCCCCAGCTCTGGGCCCAGGGGGCTGACAGCTGTCACTCAGCACCCCACCCCCTGGGGAAGAGGGGGCCGATTCAATCAGAGCCCTAGAGGAAACGCATTGATAGGCTATTATTTATTTATTTATGCAAAAGTGAGCCGACTTTGTTCGCCAGGTAACCGGGCACGCCGCCCAACCCCTCCGGCCCTGGCCGCCCCCAAATCCCTCCTCTGCCCCACACACCCCACACCCGCTCCAGGTCATTAGGTCCCCGCCCCTCAACTCCCAAAGCACCAGTGGAACCTTGGGATTTGGGGGTGGGAGGGGAGGGGCTCCTCCCTCCGCAGTCTCCCCTCTCCCCAGCGCAGATCCTAAAATCCAGCCTTGTTCTCCGCTCCCACGGTCCTCCCTTCAGCCCCCCCCCTCAACATTCCCAGCAAGCTGGAGAGCAAATTGCAGTTTTAAATCCAAAGGCGGAGGGAGGGGGAAGGAGGAGGGGGCGCGCGGCAGCGCTGGGCGCGCACCTCGCCCCCGAGCCGGGGGAGCCGCGGGGCGGCCAGGAAACCCGAGAACCCCCCCATCTCTGCCCCCCCTCCCCGACCGCCTCCCCCTCCCCCTCCCCGGCGCTGCCTGCCAGGCTTCGAGCCGAGCCCAGTCGAGCCACGGGCCCCGGCGGAAACAAAGACCGATCGCACCGCGGGCACCGCAGCCACCGGGTCCGGCGGGCCGGACCGGGGAGTGCGGAGGGCGCGCGGGGCCCCCTGATGCGCTGCACAAAAGAGCTCGGCCGGCCGGTCCCCAGAGGGGGGCTAGGGCTGGGGAGGAGGCACCACTTACCGGAGTGCTGGGCTGCCGGCTCCGTGGGTCCGAGCCAGGCGAGGGGTTTGGGGGGGCGTCTGTCTTCCAGTGGCGGCAGCGACGCGGGCGCTCGGCTGCTGGGGAGAGGAGTCGCGGAGGAGCCTTGAGCCGCCCGCCGTCGCTGACAGCATGGCTCGCGCTTGGGCTCACATTCTCCGTCGCTAACTCCGCTGGACACGGCCCCCAGCTCCCGCGGCGCCCCCCCACCTCGATCACTCCTTCGCTCTCTCTGCGCCCCCCGTCTCCCCCACCGCGCACACACTCTCCCAGCCCTGGACACCCCCGCCCCCACCCCCCCAATTGCAAACCTGGGAGGGAACGCGCCCCGCGTAGTCCTCCTCCTGCTCCTCCTCCTCCGCCCTCCTCCCTCCCGCTCTCCGGCTGTCTGTCTGTCTTTCTGACTGTCTCTATCTCTCGCTCTCTCTGCCTTTCTCTGCTCTCCGAGCTGGGTGGGAAAAGGAAATGAGGACAGAAAGCAGACGCTGGCTTTGGGTGGTGGTAGCTGGATTCCCTCTCTCCCTCCCTCCTCCTCCTCCCCTCCCTCCTCCTGCCTTCTGCTCTCTCGGCTGCGAGCGGGGCTGAGCGCAGCCTGGCGGGTGGCTTGCTCTGCCCGCCCGCCCGCCTGTCTGTCTGTCTGGTCTGCCTCGCTCGCTCCCTCCCTCCGTCTCTCGCCCTAGCCCTGCCTGCCTCTCTCCGTCTCCGCCGCCGCCGCCGCTGCCTCTGCGAGCTCGCCTTACCTTCGCCGCTCCCCATCCGGAACCCCAGGGGGGAGCGCGCGCGCGGCTCGCCGGGTCTTGTCGTCTCCGCCCCGCCGCTCCGCACGCGAGGCGGGCGGGGCAGCGCCTGCAGCTCCGACGGCGCGGCCGGGCGCCGGCGGGGACCCTGCTCCCCCCGGGTCCCTCTGGGGGGGCCTTGCCCTAGTCTACTCAGGGGCGCTGATCCTTCTTACGGATTGGGAATGTTCCCCAGGTTCCAAGTCTCCTGCGGGGGCTCTGGCTCTAACGCAGGCTGCGGATGGGAGCGAAGGGGCGGGGTCTGAGAATGGAATGGGAATCAAATGGGGAATCGGGATTAGCCAAAGGGGCTGCGACTTATTGCGGCGCCCCAATTAAATAGGAGGGGAAGAGGAGAGACGGGAGGACCAGCTCTCTGAATTTGGGGACGTTCTCCCTTTCTGAAAAGGTTTCCTACCGAGTAAAGCACAAGGGTTTATGGTTGGAGGGCTGCTCGGGAAACCTCAAAGCCCCAGCCAGCGCCCCCTCCCCACGCAGTGACCTTCCTCCGATCTCTGAGCTCTGGGTTTAGCACTTCCAACGACCAGTTTTCCTAGAAGTCCAAGGGCGGCGAGGGCGCAAAAGCCCTGGCTAATCCACAGATAGTCCGCTTCCCGAATTCTACTGAGCATTACATTGTATCAGGAAGCAGGATTTGGATTCACAGTTCGAATTCCCCGCTGCGGCCGGGGGCTGGGCTCAGCACTTTCACCTACCTCCTCTTCAGGTCACATCTGTTATCCAGCCCCTGGCTCCGGGCACCCTGCCTGGCCTACCTTACAGATGGGAATGTGCGCTGCGGAGGTCCTGGTTACCATGGGGAGGAGGCAGAACAACCCTGGAAGGAGAACTGCGGCGGCTGCCATTTACCCGGCACTGCAGCGCTCTTGAAGTCTGATAGCCCGGTGACAGGATACTGCTACTATCATTTCCGTTTTAGAGATGAAGGTATTGAGGCCCAGTCCCCCAATTAGAAAATGGTGGAGCTACTAGTATTTGAACCCCGGTCTGGCGTGCTTAAACCCTGGGCTACCAACACAAGGTCGGGGGTTGTGACTCCCCAGGTCTCTGTGTCTGGCCTTCTCTTCCTGCGTCTGTGTGTCCTCCCTTGGCACTTCAGTTCGACAAATTTTAACTGAGGTATGCAGGCTCTCGCAGGGGACGCGGAGATGGATAAAGCATGGTTGCTTTCCTGTCCTCAGTGTCTACAATACCATCCCTGACTGGTCCTGCGCAGGTCGCGCCTCATCTTGTGTCTGACATTCCTCTTGGCCCGTATCTCCTGGCTTTCTCCCCCGTGCTCCATGTCTGAAGTTCCTCTGGCAGTGCCTTTGTTCTTGGCCCACCTGTTTCTGACTCTTCCTTTGGACCTGCAGGTTGACAGCCAGCCTGTGACAATGGCATGTGGTGACATTTTGCCAACTGCAGTTTCCCGTCACCACCTTTCCCACACCTTCAATTCTCTTGAGCTCCTGAGTCTTACCTTTCTCTAGGATAGTCTGCACCCCCAGACTGGATGAAAGGAGTTTGGGGGGCACTCTCTACTGCCTCTCTGGGAAGGGGGCTGCAGTAATGGTAGAGGGCTAGGCTCTAACAGTACACCTATTGATTTGGCATGACATTTTCGGGGTGGCATGGCCAGCTGGAGAGGCCCCCATTTGGGAACAGCTTCTCCTTGCAGACAAGATGGGCCTTGGGTTCAAAGATGTATTCTTTGAACAGGAAGCATTATATGGTCAGATATTAATGAAAACAGTAGTTAAAGCCATCAGAAGCCCCTTGCAGCTCCAAAGACTGGATCTGAAGTTATCGTGAATAGATGAAGCTCTGGCATCTTCCCCTAGCTAGCTCTGCAAACGAGGTGAGAGACATTAGCATTGGGGAGGGTGGGAGAGGTACAGGTTGCCCCTTTTTTTACCCTTCTCCTATACACACCCTTACCCATTAGGCTCTGCCCCAGGGCATTTGGGGAGGGAGTTGGGTGGCATAATCTTGGATGGCCATTGGGATTAGAGGAACCCCAAGTAGGTTGAGGTGCTCCAAGTAGGGGAGTTGGAAATGCACGGGGAAGGGGAAGGTTAAGTGATGAGGTGAAGCGGGAGAGGTTAGTACGTCTCAGATGGATGAGGGACGGGAGAATAGAAATTAAACGGGGTTTTCCAAACATGCCCCTTCCATCCTGGTTGCTTCAGCTGTCCCCCCGCACCGCCCCCCTGGAGACAGTGGGTGCTATTACCCCCCAAGGTGTTGGACATCGCTGTAACCCAAGCATAACAGGGTTTCTCTGTCATTTGGGGGCTAATCTTTCTCTTAAAGCGTCTCAATATTGTGTTGGGTGGGGGGGTCTCCCCAGAAAACGCAAACTGAGACTCTTCTTGTGGGCTGCTGCTGCCACCTAGTGGCTGACCTCCATGTCTGCTCTCGCTACTGAAGGCTGAAAGCGGGCTACCCAGTCCTTGGCTATAAGAACCGGGTTCTGGATCACCACGGGCTGGGCAGGGTGGCTGTAAGCCCCGGAAGAAAAGAGACATGAGGGAGTAGACCCATTTCTAGAAGAGCCTGCATGATCCCTCTCTGGGCTCATCTCACTCCAACCACTTTTGTTTAAGCATTAGCAAAGGTGACATAGCTAGAACCTAGGAAATACCGGTGAGAGTCTAGAGATAAAGGTGTGCGGCCTAAGGGTTTGGAGGCCAAGTAGAATAGGATCCAGACAGACTGAGTTCTGATCTCGCTTCGACTTGCTGTGTGTCCTTAACCTCTCTGAGTCTCAGTTTCCCCATGTGCAAAATAGAAGTAGTAATCCCTTCCCAATCTACAGACAGAGCTGTTGGGAAGATTAACTGAGCACACGGATATGAAAGCACTTTGAAAACTGGCAGAGGCAAGGGGAGGAGTTACTGAGTCATGATAATAATAATGACAATAACTGAGGGGTCACAGTGGTCTAGAACCAGGCCCCTGGGGCTCATAGAAAGGGCAGAGTGAAGTGAGCCTTGAGTTCAGATGGGCACTGCCCTGTTTCACTGAAGAAGTTTTGGGGCTGGCCTAACTTTTAGGGATACCTCAGGGGAGACGTGGATTGCTAAAGAGTGGTTCAGTCCAGTTGGCAGAAGGGGAGACTGAGGCCTAGAGAGGCTGATGGCCTGTCCTAAGTCACTGAGCTGCAGATCCAGGAACAAGAAGCCCATTGGACTGGAGCCATCATGGCTTTCCCCTCCCCTGGATGGAGGAGCCCAGAGACCACAGAGGCAGGAAGCCCCCCTCATTGCAATACAGTGGAGACTAAGGCCCCAGGCCCCATTATCCCTCCTCCTGGGCTGGTCCCCTCCCCTCCCCCTTGCAAGTCCTCCCACATTCCTCCAGGCAACAGGAAACCCCAGCTGCAGCCCAGACTTCAAACAGCTCCTCCCTCTGGGCATGGGGTGTGGGAGGAGAGGCCAGAGGTCAGAGGGTAAAGGTCAGCTTTGTTCCTGCCGGAGGTGGTGAGCGACCCGGGGGAGACTGAGGGGGTAGGGGAGAGCCCTTGACAGCCACACTACGTGTATGAATTCCTGTGTCCAGCAGGGTGTGCGTGGCTCCTGCGTTCTGGATGCCTGTGTTGAAGATAAACTTCTGGGTCCTCAATTTCTGCTCATGGACCTGAGTTATGTGTCTGAGTGTATACTCTGACATGTTTGTAGGGGTCATCATATGTCTGGTTCCCAGCCTGGTCAAAGCTATGCGTCCTTCTGTGAATGTGACCTGGTATGGGTCTTTGTGTCCAAGAGGAGTGTCCCTCTCCACCTCTTCCTCTCCTATCCTTACTCCACGGTGATCACCAGAGGGTTCCTTCTGAAAATGAATTTGACCTTGTTCAAAACTCCTTGCTCAAAACCCTTTAGTGACTTCTCATTTCCCAGTGGTTAGAGTCACGGTCCCTGTGCATAACAGACACGGCCCACACTTACCTCACCATCTTTACCTTTTGCCACTACCAAACTGTCCGCTGCCGAGTCAGTTCCAACTCCTAGCAACCCTATAGGACAGAGTAGAACTGCCCCATCGGGTTTCGAAGGCTGAAATCTTTATGGAAGCAGACTGCCACTTCTTTCTCCCGCTGTGTAGCTGGTAGGTTTGAACCACTGACCTTACAGTTAGCAGCCAAGTGCTCAACCACTGCGCCACCCGGGCTCCTTAGCCACTACCACCCCCCTCAAATTTTGGACTCCAGACACACCTAATTGTAACTCCCTGCACAGTCCTATTTCCTGTCTCTGAGCTTTGCTCACTTAATTCAGCCATTCTAATCCTTGTCTCATTTCTTTACCAGGAAAACTTACTCTCACCCTTTTCTTAAAAATCTCAGGCGAGGCATCACCTGTTCTGAGAAGTCTTCCTGACTTCCTCCTGCTCAACTGAGTTAGGACTCTCCCCTGTTCTCCCACATGCCCTGTATTGTCATTTGCTGCTGGTGTCTGTCCCCCTTGTACCCTACTGCCATTAGACTGTGTACTCTCTGAGGACAGGAATTGCACTGGATCTCACATTCTGTCACGGGAGAATTCTGGTGGGACCTGGCTTTTCCGTCCTTGGAGAGTTTCCTGCAGTTTTGGCTGTAGTACCCAGCATGGCCACTAGAAGGAGCATGGATACAACTGCGGGACAGTCCAGGTTAAGGTTGGAGGTAATGGATGGAGGTGAGGGAGTGCCTGGATCCTGTACCTGGGAGGGAACTACTGGAGTGCATAGGGGGTCCATCCAGCTCAGCCCTAGGACAGTGGGATCCAGGATAGACTCTCCCCTAACGGGTCCTTGGCCCCCAGATTTCTTCTGACTTTCTTGCAAAACTCAGGAGCCATTCTCCTTGATTCCCCCTCCATACCTCTTGCCTCCTGCCCCTTTTCTTCTTTCTGACCCTCCAACTTTCTTCTCCCAGGCTTCATCTGCATTTGCTTGAATGGTTTACACTCTACCATACCTCTGGGCCTTTGCACATGCTGTTCCCTCAGTGGCAGATGTCCTCACCAGCTGGTTGCTTCATCAGAGAGACTTTTTTTCACATCCTCTGAGAAGCCTCCCTTGGTCCCTAGACTGATGTTTCCCCTAAGTGTTGTAATTGTTTGCTGTTCTGCCTCCTGGGCAGGACTGGCCTACAGGAGACATCAGTAAATGTGTATGGGATTAATAAATGACTTAGTTCTTTCACGAGTACAATCCTAAGCATGTACAGGGCTACCCCAGGCCCCTATCTGCCCATGCCCTCCCTCAGCCTGGCTTGGTCAGTATCAAGCTTTGCCATGCTGCTCCATCAGATAGGGAATGTGACAGTGGGATGCCTGAGCTTTTGAAGTCAGACAGACCTGGGTTCAAATCCTGGCTCTGCCATCCAGCTATATTATCCTGGGCATGTGTTGTAGCTTCTCAGAGTCTTCTTTTCCTTTTCTGTAAAACAGAATCAACACACCTCTGCATTGCCTTGTGGTGAGAATCACACTAGATGATGCAGGTGAAACACCCAGTGTTAAACAATTAAATGTCCTCCTCCTCCGCCAAGAACTCGGAAATAAAATTGCCCTCTGAGTCTTAAGCCAGTAAAATACACGCATCACAGAGGAGAAGAGCCAGGTGGGGGAGTGAATGAGGCGAGAGATGGTTTTGTCAACGAGCGACTGAAGAGTTTTGTGAATGGTGCAAACCGCAATCAAGGTGACCTGCCTGTAATCTCAGGGAGGCAGGGCAAGGATGTGATTGAAATTGAGAAAGCAGAGCCTAATCAATTGCATTGTGCTCTATCTGAAAGGAACACAAAAAAGAGGGTGCAAGGGAGAATTCATCCAGCTGCACCAGAGGGAGAGAAGGGGAGCCAGTAGAGCCAGAGATTCCAGGTCCGGGAGGCGGTGGCCTCTACTGAGGAGCAGTGAGGGGTCAGGTGAACTCCAGATGGCTCACTGCCCTGTTGGGCCTTCATTTAAACCTAATAGGCGTGCTGGTATCTGTAGAGCAGAGAAGAATATTCTGGCCCCAGCAAAAGGGCACAGAGACTAAGAACACCGGTTTTGGAATCAGACAGACCTGATTCAGGCTCTACCACTTGATTCCTGTAACCTTGGAAAAGCTAATTTACTTCTCTGCGACTCAGTTTCCTCATCAGTAAAATGGGGATACAATAACCTCCTCGTAGGGTTCTGTGAAGATTAAATGGTAACATGCATGTACTTAGCAGGGTGCCTGGCACAGAGTAAACAATTGGTAAATGGTAGTGATAAAGAGAGCTAACATTTACTGAGGGCTTTATTGCCATTTTACAGATGAGCAAATTGAGGCTCGAAGAGATTAATAATTTGCACAAAATCACACAGCTAGGGAGTGGTGTAAGCAGAATGCACACCATGCAGTTCTCTTGTGCTCTGATCCACTTACTCCATGATAGGTGAAAACACTGGCCTCTGGCTGATACATCAGGCTCTTATGAGTGTGGTCAGCCAGAGACTGTGCCCCTCTGAAGTTTGAGCCTTGACCCCTGAGAGTTTGAGTCTGCAGACCTGAGGTTCCCACTCCCATGACAGCCTCACTGAACAGCCACGTGGCCTCTCTCTCTTACTCCTGTTCAGCTACCCCCAGCACAGAGCTGGCCACAGGGAACTCTCAATCTGCATTGACCACATTGTCCCCCTTTCCTTGAAGCCACTCAACTTGAGGGGATATGCAGGGAATCTTTCTACAGGAGGAGGATCCCCGCCTGTGCAGAGATGATCTCCTCCTAAAGCTTAGAGGCAGGGAAGTCTAGGGAGAACATGGACCTTGGTGTGAGACCTGGGTTCAAATCCCAGCTCTGCCACATACAACTGTGTGACCTTGGTACGTCACATCATCCTTGAGCCTCTATTTCCTCATCTGTAAATGGGAGACCTGGTGGTGCATCAGTTAAAGCAGTTGGCTGCTAACCAAAAGGTTGGTGGTTCAAACCTACCAGCCGCTCAGTGGGAGAAAGATGTAGCAGTTTGCTTCCATGAAGATTTACAGCCCTGGAAACCCTATGGGGCAGTTCTACTCTGTCCTATAGGGTGGCTATGAGTTGGAATTGATGGCTGTGGGTTTGGTTTGGTTTGTTTGTTTGTTTAAATGAGGACTAATCATAGAGCTGGGCTTAGGACTGGATTAAATGAAAAGACGGATGTAACCACATCTGGCATTCAGCAGACACTTAAGACAGAAGTTGTTGTTATTACTATTATTTCTCCCCAGCCTCACTGTGAACTGCTCCAGGGCAAGGACAGGTCTTGTTCATGTTTGTGTTCCCAGGGTCCTGCCTACCAAAGGGCCCTCCACAGAGTCGATGTGTAGTAATTATTGGTCAGATGCTGGATCCCAGCTCCCAGGCTCCTTTGCCTATCCATTCTCTGAGTGAGCCAGGCAGTGGACACACATTTCCTGAGAACCTATGGACAAAGTGGGAAATCGTATTCCGTGTTCCTCTTGTTTCCCTGGGAAGGTACGTCAGCTACCAGAGTTCCTCACAGGGGGCGCTATGGGACAGGACACTTCTTCACTGCACAGGTGCATTACAGGTGTTTAGCATCCCTGGTCCCTAACCATGAAAAGCCAGTACCAGCCCCCAGTGGTTGTGACAAACAAAACTGCCCCTATTCTTCTCCAAAAGCCCCCTAAGAGACACAGCTGCCCTAAGTGAGATCTACAGAGCTAGACTAGCCCTCAGGCCTCTCTCTTTCCCCCACTCTGCCCTCTTTTGGGGGATCAGCCAGCTGCAGAGGCTCCACTGTGGTCTTCTCCCCTGCCCTTGTTGGGGGTGGCCTGTGGTTGTCCTGTTGTGCCTGTGAAGGGTGGAATATCTGCTTAAATCAGGTAAAGAATTAGCAAACCTTTGCAAATCAAAAACCACATCAGTAGTCAAAGAGATGTTTTAATCTCCAGTTGCCTATCTTTTGCATCCATCTATCAACTGGTTTTAAACTAACATGGGGAAGAGTAGCCAGACTTTCAGGTCTCCTAAAACTCCACACCTTGGGTGCCCTGTGCTTAGTAGGTGCTAGGGCACTGTCTTACCTCTCCCTTCTGCTCCTACTGGCCACTATGCCCCACTCACCTCCCACTAGCCCCCAGCCCCCAAAGGGCAGGTGCAGGAGAATTTCGTAGTTCAAGGATTCATACTGTCATTTTCCTTATTTACAAAAATCAATAAACACACACACATGATCAGAAGGGGGTGAGCCATCAGCTTCTCCCTCAATCCTGGGCTTGCACCCCAGTCCCAGACCACAGCATTCACCCAGCAGAAAGACCCAGCAAAGACTTTCCCTGTCTTCGTAACTGACAGACACAAGAGAATTGAGAGTCGGAGGCAAAATCTGGGGGCCTGGGCCAGGACAGGAAGACGGAAGGGCAGGAAAGCAGGGAGAGGCGATAAAGGAGGCCAGGGATAGTCATAGTTTTATAAATAACTAGACAGGCTGTGAGCACTTTGGGGGAGGCTAGAGGCCTGAAGAGGCCTAAGTGGAAAGCGGACAAACAATGTTCGGAGTCAAAGTGGGTGAGGGATAAGTTCTGAGCCTTGATTTGCCCCATCTGTAAAATGAGCACGTTGCCCTAGATGACGACAGAGTGTCCTATCTGCTCTGATGTGCTAGGACTCTGTAGGATTCTAAGCCTGGGGGCTTTGGGACGAGAGTCCTGGGGATTGACAAGGGCTAGTGGGCACGCCCAGAGAGGTGCCCAATGCCCAAGCAGGCTATGCCTGATCCCCGGGTTGGTACTGGGGTTCTGTGGAGGTGAAGTAGTCCTCCAGGAAGGACTGCAGGTACTCAAAGGTAGGCCTCTCATCCGGGTCCAGACGCCAGGTCTGCTCCATGGCCTCATACAGGGACACCGGGCAGCCTGGGGGGCATGGCATGTGGTAGCCATGCTCCACCTGTTCCATTACTTCCCGGTTACTCATGCCTGCAGGGTGGGGCTCTGTTAGTTGGGAGCCGGACCTCCCCGAAGGAACAGCCAGGAGGGAGCCCTTCTCCAAGTCCATCTCCCCACTCCCTACCGCATCTCACCCCAGGCAAACCTGGGTAGGGGACTCGGCCCTTGCTGATGAGTTCAGTGAGCAGGATCCCGAAGGACCACACGTCTGACTTGATGGTGAATTTGCCATAGAGGGCAGCCTCTGGGGCGGTCCACTTGATGGGGAACTTGGCCCCTGGAGGTTAGGGGAGAAGGGAAAATTAGTCAGGAGATCCCTGGGAAAAACTGGATTAAGAGAATGGAATCTTTAGGACTAAGGATCTTGGGGCCTCTGAACAGGGGTCTCAGCATAGCAGAAAGGACCTGGCATCTGGCCAGCACCTACTATGTGCCTAGCATAGTGCTGGGCACTTTACAAACACTGTCATAATTCTTGTAATACCAACAACTAATACTTGTACAGCCTTCACTATATGCCAAGCACTGTTTTAAGCGGTTTACACACATTAACTCATTTCACCCCCAACAAAACCCTCATGAGGTAGGCACTGTTATTATCTCCAATTTAGGGATGAGAAAAAGGAGGCACTGAGTAGGTAAGTAACTTGCCCAGATCACACAGCTAGTAAGTGGCTGGGATTCATGCCCAGGCATTCTGGCTACAGAGTCTGTGCTCTTAACTAGTAGACTCTAGAGTCTCTCACTGAAGCATTTATAGCAGTGTCTGGCACATAGTAGGTGCTTAGTATAAATATCTGTTGACTTACTGTTGTCTGAATATGTTCATTTTACAGATGAGAAAATGAGATAAGGCAGCTCACAGAGATTAAAAGACTTGCCCAAGGCTACATGGCTTGTAAGTGGTTGAGTTGGGATTTGAACCCAGACTTGCCTCTTGTGCTACAACATCAGGATGGGGGTGTCCTGGATGGTCTAGGGTGGGGGATGGTTCCTGAGTATGTGGGGCCTCATGGCAGCCCCTTGGTGCCCTGGGGAGCTCTCAGCAGGTGGGGTGAGGCAGGGCACCTTGTCGGGAGTTGTACTCATCATCCTCGATGAGGCGGGCCAGCCCAAAGTCCGCGATCTTGCACACCAGCCGCTCCCCGACAAGGATGTTGGCTGCCCTCAGGTCACGGTGGATGTAGTTCATGCGCTCCATGTAAGCCATACCCTCCGCTATCTGAGGAGCCAAGCCATAGAGAGTTGGAAGCCCACGTGGCCTCACAGCATACGGCCTATATGAGCTAGAAGGGCCTTCAGGGACCATTTGAAAGCCCATTTTTCAGATGGAGAGACTGAGGCTCAGAGCGAGGCAGTGCCCTGCCTCAGATCCCACTGCTGGTTCAGTGGGCAGACCTATATTTCCAGAGGGAGGCTGGGTGATTGAGCGCACAAGGATTTGTGGAAGGTTAATAGGAAGGGGATTTAAGAGATAAGAGGAGTCCTGGTGGCACAGGGGTTAAGTGCTTGGCTGACAACTGAAAAGTCGCCAGTTTGAACCCAGCAGCCGCTCCCGGGAGAAAGATGTGGCAGTCTGCTTTCGTAAAGATTACAGCCTTGGAAACCTTATGGGGCGGTTCTACTGTGTCCTATAGGGTCGCTGAAAGTCGGAATCCACTAGATGGCAACGAGTTTAGTTGTTGGTTTTTGAGAGATAAAGGCTGCTGTCCCTATTTACCTGGGCTGCCATGTCCACCAGCTGGGGCAGCTTCAAAGCCTGGCCTTTCTGGTCCTTGAGAAATTCCAGCAAGCTACCTGGAAAGAGGAACCTAGAAAATCAGCAGCAAGACCCCGCCCCAGCCCCAGGCCAGTCCCCTCTAGCTTGGCTCCTCCCCTTCCCCCCCGACCGCTTCTCATCCAGTCTAGCCTTGCCGCTGTTCCCAGCCCTCTCACCTAAATCCGTCCCCCAGCTCAGGCTCTCGCCCGCTGACTGGCTTCACCACTTCACGGGTCTCGCCCAGGCTCTGTCCCCAGATACCCTGACCTCGCCCTACACCTCTGGCCACGCCCCATTCAAACCCCGCCCCAGATCCCTCCATATCAAGGATCAGTCTTTCCCTGCCCAAGCCCCGCCCTCCCAGCTTCGGCTCCGCCCCTGACCAGGTATTGTCTTTTCTCACTTGGCCCCACCCTCACATCCTCAGTCCCTTGCCCCAGGTGGACTCCGCGCGTTGTCCCTCATCCCCTCATAGATCGTGCCCCCCCCAGAAACACCCACCTTGACTTTGCCCCCCAATCCCATCGCGCCCAGATTCCACCCTCTGACCCCGCCCCTCACCGTCGCACATGAACTCAGTCACGATGTAGATGGGCTCCTTGGACACCACCGCGTACAGCTGCACCAGCTTGTCGTGCCGCAGCTGCTTCATGATCTGCGCCTCCTCCAGGAAGGCCTTCGGAGACATGGTGCCCGGCTTCAGCATCTTCACCGCTACCTTCGTGCTGCCGTTCCACGTGCCTGCCGGGCGGCGGCGTCGCGTCAGGACCTGCTGCCTGCCAGCCCTGCCCTCCGCCTCCGACCCCCCAGGACCTCCGTACCCAGCCACACGTCCCCGAAGCAGCCGGTACCCAGCCGGCGCTCGAGCGCTATAGACTCGCGGTTGATCTCCCAAGCGTCCTTGGCCAAGCCCAGCGTCTGCGGCTTCATGATGGTGCAGACTGCCGTGAGCAGGTGGCACAGCCCGTCATTCTCCTCTAGGGGGCGGGAAGGATGAAGATCACAGGCGGGCCATGACCTCCACACACTCCTCATCACATCCCAGCCCTCTCGCCAGACCCCATGATCGGTTATAAGTAACTGGATCACAGATGAGCTCACAAGCCAGGGCGAAGGCAGCCTGGCCACTGAGTCGGTGAACATGAGGGTTGGTGCCCAGGGAGGGGGCTGGCACCAAGAGGAAGAGATGATCCCTATAAAGATTAGGGGCCTTCCCAGCCCGGCCTTGAAGGACAAGGTGGGATTCTGACAGGTGGAAATGAGGTTGGGGATTCCAGGCAAAGGGGTGGACATAAGGCCCTCACCCTTCAGTGGATTTCATCCTTGACCTAACTAATCAAGGCAGAAACCTGGGCACTGACTCCCACCTTCTCCTTAATCCTGTAACCAGTCCTCCAGCAAGTCAGGCCCATTCTACCTCCTATCCAGCTTTGGAATTGTCTGCATCTCCTCACTCCACTGCTCTGCTTTAGTCTGGCCACTCTCACCTCTCACGTGGATGGTGGCCACAGCCTCCTAATAGACCCTCATCCTGCCTTGCCCCCTGGCACACAATCTCCCCCCAGCAGCCAGAGTTTCTCACCAACATGCAGACCAGCCTCTATCACCACCTGCTCAGGGACCCGTGATGGTGGCTTCCTGCCTGTCCTGGGGCCTTCGTGGGGCATTCAAAGCTGGCATGGTCTGGCCCAGGCTGGCTTGCAGCACTGCCCAGCAGGTCCTCTTTGCTTGCCTCTGGGCAGTTCTTTCCACCTGGGCTCTGATGCCCCTCTCTCTGCTTTAGCACAGCATTATTATAGGCTTCACGACTTAAGATCTAGGTGTCTTGAATAAATTACTTAGCCTCTCTGTGCCTCAGATGAGGTTGTGCTAAGGACGAAATTATTACAGGCAATGCGCTTAGAACAGTGCCTGACACATAGAAAGGACTCAGTGTGGATTTTTATTCTTGTCATTGTCGTTTATGTCTGTTGCCTTGACCAGACTGTGAGCTACTTGAGGACAGGGGCCATTTCTGAGTTGCACCTGCAGCACAAACACTCAGGAAAGTTTCAACAGATTGAGGCCTTGAGGCAGGAAACTGGTCAATTCCTCACTCAGAGGTTAGGGGGAGCCACTTGGCCACCGACGCCTCAGTTTTCTTGCGAATCCCACAGAGTAGGATCCTGGGCTGGGAGCCTGAACACCTGGATTCTAGTCCTGGCCGGGCCACTGCTGCTTTGGGAGACTCTTCCCTTCTCTGGGCTCAGTCTCCCCGTCTGCACGACCCGTCAGCGGGTTGGTTCAGGGGACTGAAGTGCCCGCCGGCCCGGAGGGGCTGCCCTCACCGGTGTAATGCCGCACCAGCTCCTGCACTGAGTTGAACTGGGCCCGCGTGGTGATGTAGAAACCGCCGGTGTCCAGCTTGCGGATCTTGTAATGCTTGACGTGATCGCCTTTGGTCTGGTCCCAATCCCGGATGGACAAGGAATAGGCACCTGTGGGGAAGGGGCACCTTCGGGCCTGCTTCCTTTTCCCCACCCCCCACCCCAGGTCTGGGAGACAGGAGAAGGTCCGCAGGCTGGGGACTTTAAGCCGGCTGGCCCCATCCCTTCCTTTAACTCAGTCCCAGGCTTGGCCCCGCTGCCGAGCCCAGCCGTAGTCACTTTTAGCTGTGATCGGGGCGGATTAACCAGTAAACAAGCTATGCACGAGTTAATTGTGCTTACTTACTCATCTGTAGTACACAATTTCACATGAGTTTCACCACATCAGGTGAAATTGTGCGCTACAGATTAGTAAGCACAAGTAAGCCCGTGGGTACCTCGCTTATTGGGTAATTCATCTCTGGCCCTGACCTAAGCCCCTCCTGACCAGCCTAGCCCCATCCTATTACGCTGGGCCTCCTAGTAGCCCCTGCCGCCCGCCTCCGCTGTGGCACCTTCCCTACCTTTGGTGGTCTCACTCTCCCGAATGAGGAAGGCCCCCTGCGGGTTGCCGGGTGAGAGCAGCTGCCTCTCTGCATCCTTCCTCCCTATCTTTCCGAAGTACCACCTATTGGGAAGGACAGGCAAGAATCAGGTACACCCTATTCAAACTCCAACTCAGCCTCTCTGGGCAAAGTCACCTCACAAGCCAACCCTCAATTTCCGTACCTAACAAGCCAAGACTCAATTTTCTTACCTGTAAAATGGGACTCATATGCCTGCCTCACAGGCTGATTGTGGGGGTCACAGAGAAAGGGAATGTAAAATGCCTGGCACACAGTAGGTGCCCATAAAGGTCAGGCTTCTCCTCCTTACTCTCTGGGCTTCTCTTATATTGCTAGAAATTGCTAGAACCTCAGTCACTAATGACCTTATCAGGATGTCACTGCTCCCTTAGTCCATCTCACTTCAGCCCCTCTATGCACGCGTTTTACAGATGAATAACTTGAGACTCAGAGAGGGGAAGTGACCTGCCCACAAGGCAGGCTGATGAGCTCTACCTAAAATCCTCTGCCGCCCACATTAGTGGTTTTCCCACCACCCCAGGCAATCGCTCAGGTCCCTCCCCCGACTCCCACTGTCCCCTTTGGCCTCCTGAGCAGCACTCTCTCCAGCTTCTCCTCCTCCCTCTCTGCTGCTGCCTGGCTCTGACTGCTGCTCTTCCTCCACTCTCTTAATGTTGGTTGTTGTCCTAAATCTCAACTTCAGCCTCAGGCCTCAACCACTTCTGCTCTCTTTGTGGGGGGGGGGGGGATTCTTTCTGGGATTGTATTGTAGTTCTAAACTAACTGTGCAAGTATACTGGGGGAGTTGAAGTGCCACAGGGAACACAGATAACACAAATGTCATTTAACTGGCCCATGACCATTGTGGCCTGACTTAAAAGGAGCATGGTTTCCAAATCAAGGGAGTTGGCAGGCAGCCCCAGTGAACTCTGGGATGGTTGGTCCACACCTAGAGTACTACACACAGTTTGGGGAGCAGGGGAGGCATTGGAAGTGAAGTGTCAAGGAGGGCAGGCAGGATGTGGAAGCAGGAACTGTTGAAGGGCTGTATAGGCAGGACCAAGTTTTTTTCAAAGCCACCAGCCCTGCCTCCACCCACTCCATGACATTAGCTATTTGTTTAATAACTAATAATAATAATTAATATAATAATAGCAGCACTTATTTTGTGTCAGACTCTGCTCTAATACATATATTTATGCATTTAATTCTCATAATAACACTGTGAGGTAAGTACTATTATTACCCTCCATTAGAAAAAAAAAAGAATCCAATGCCATCAAGTCAGACCCTATAGAAATCCAATGCCATCAAGTCAGACCCTATAGGGCAGACTAGAACTGCCCCATAGGGTTTCCAAGGCTGAAATCTTTATGGAATCAGACTGCCACATCTTTCTCCAGCGGAGCAGCTGGTGGGCTCAAACCACCAACGTTTCAGTTTGCAGCCAAGGGCTTTAACCACTGTGCCACCAGGGCTCCTTCCCTCCATTAGACAGATGAGGAAATTGAGATACCTAGTGGTTAAGCAACGTGTCTAAGGCCACACTGCTCTTGAGCTGTGTTGCCAGAATAGGAACCCAAGCTGTCTGTTTTAGGGCCTGCGCTCTTAACCACAATACTGCACTGCGCCCTCTCAGAGCTTCGTGACCCTGCCCCCAAGATGTGGACACAAGCGTGAACCCCTAAAAACCACCCACCCCCTGCATCATCACTCCTCCTTTCCTCTTTGCCTCTTACTACTCTCCCCAGGCTAAGGCCTCACCCTACTCCAGCTCTAGACCCTGCCCACTTCCCTCTGCTCAGGGACCCCCCACTGAGCAGCCCCTTCTGGAGCCCTTCCATCTCACCAACTTCTAAAGATGCCCACATTTCTTTCTTCCAAAGGAAACTGTTTTAAGCCCTGTCTTGCCATCAACAGTCTGCTATATCTCACACCTTCCCTTCACTTGAAAAAGTGTTTCACACTTGGGTCTCCACTTCCTCACCTCCCACTCCCTACCCCACTCTGCTATCTGGCCCCCACCCTCACTGCGCAGGGAGGCATCTCTCACTAAGGTCACCCCTGTTGCCGTTGCCAAATCCAGTGGCCAGCAGCGTCTGACACTCCCTCTCTTGTTTCTTGAAACTTCCCTTCCACTATCTCGGCCGTTCTGACTCAGCCTTGTCTGATTTTCCTCCTCCTCCATGGCTCCTTCTCCTTTGAGGGCAGCTTTCTCCAAAGTTGGATCCTGGGGCCAATCTCTTTCTCACTCTCCTCCCTCTTTTTTCACCCCCCTATACAGCTTCAGTGGTCATCTCTGATGAGTCCCAAATTTCCACCCCAGTCCTCTGCAAGTGCCACAACAAACATGTAAAGAGTCTTACTGCCAGTTAGGAAACGGTGCCCTTTCCTTTGAGCTGATTCAGGGGCATGGCTTGGCATGGGCTGGGCACCCCTTGTACAAAGCACAACCTAATCTAATTGCTGGCAGCCTCCTCCATTTGGGTGTTGCTCCCCATGAACCTCAGCCCATCAAGTCTCCCCGTGCCCTGAACTCATTATTGCCCTCAAACCTGTACCTGTTCTTATGTTCCCCACCTTAGCAAATGGCACCATCATTCACTCAGTCACTCAAGAAGACTTTGAATCACCCTTGATTCCGCTTTCCCCCACTCCTCATAGTCTACTAGCAAATCAGTCACTAAATGCTGGTGTGCTCTGCAAAATGTCTCCAATGCTTTCTACTTCCCATATATATGCACGCATATGTGAGAATAAATAAAAAAGGTTTTTCCTCATCTGTAAAATGGGACAATAGTAATATCAATAGTGTTATTGTGAGAATTAAATGAATCAAAGTAGGTAAAGTACTTGTTGTAGTATCTCACATATATAAAAGTTCTCCTTGCCTCCTTAGTAGAATTAATTCTAAGTAATGCCCCTTGCGTTTGTTTAGCAGTTTACAATTTGTTAAGCTCATACACCATGGTTATCAGAGAGGCAATATGCATACTGCCTAGCAAATGCAGCCAGACTATCTGGGTTCCAATACCAGCTCCGCCTACTTACAAGCTATGTGAACCTGGGAAGGCTATTTAATTTCTCTGTGCCTCAGTTTCCTCATTTGTAAAACATCATAATATTTTCTACTCGGTCACTATATGGAAAGCATTTTAAATAGTGCCCAGCATATAGTATGCACTAGCATTACCCACTGTTATTGTTATCATCATTATCTTCTTTTATTCTCACAGTGATCTTACAAAATTGTGAATATGGAGACTGAGGCTCAGAGGGAAGCAGTGACTTGCCCAAGAGGTGAGCTGGGAGTCTGGACTCCAAGGTCCTATCCCAGGACTGGCCTCCCTGGCCCTCCTACTCACTCTTCAGCCTGGATGGAGTCCACAGGGGCCACGTAGTTGCTGGGAATGTAGCCAGTTTGTCCAGTAATGAGGGACCGAGCCTCCCACCAGTCACCTTCCCTGCAGGCACAGAGCAGAAGCGTGGTCAGTGGCAGCTCCAGCTCTGGGGCCCCCTGGGCCAGGCAAGTCCACATTGAGGATCTGATGGAGGTTGACTCTGCGAACCCTTCACCTTGGACATTCCCCCACCCAAGAGCTTTTCCGTACTTTTGCCCACAGCTATTGAAGCTGCCCAGGAAGATTTGTCCCTGTGGAAGGGAGATGTTTGGGGACATCTGGGCCTCCAGGCTTCATCCTCTGACTCCTCAGTTGAGCTGGGGGTCAGGGATACAGTGCACAGCTAACTGGGTCACTTCCCCACTGAAAAGCTTCCAGTGGCTTCACATTTCCTTCTGGATAAAATCCAGACACCTCAGCGTGGCTGAAAAAGCCCTGCCGACCCTGTTCCCACCCCCTGTCCAGCCTCTGCTCTCTCCATTCTGCACCTCACACTTTGGCTCCACCGATACTGAGCCACTGTGGCTCCTGGGAGCCATCATTCATTCTCATTCTCTCTCACTCTCACTTTTTCTCACCTTTTCCTTCCATGTCTACTCATCTTTCTGGTCTCAGCTTAGAAGTCACCAACTTCAAGAAACCTGCCCTGACCACCCCCACCCTAGGGACCATGTTTGGTGTCTCTCTGTGCTCATACTCCCTCATGCTTTCCTCATTTGGTAACGATCACCCGGTTATTGCGATTGTGCAGTGTGTCTGGCTCCTCCACTAGGCTAGGAGAACTCTGAGAACAGGGACCAGGTAGGATTCCTCTCCCGGTCCTGCTCCCAGCCCAGGCCGTGCACTGAACTGGCTGGCCTGGTCACTTACGTATTGTTCAGGATGTGGAACCTCTCGCCCTTGGTGAAGGTGAGGTCATCCTCTGTCCGGGCCTCATAGTCATACAGGGCGATGAATTCGGTCACCCCAATCCCTGCCAGAGTCAAGGCTACTCAGCAGGATAGGGCACAGGACAGGGGGCACCCATGAGTTCTTTTTCTCAACCAGGCACTGTGGCCACTGCACCCCTACCTCCACCTCCGCACTGCTGCAGTGCCCTGGTTCTCAAAGGTCTTTGGAGTCGAGTGGATTTCTGACTTGGGCTTCAGAGCTTCCCCCCACCCGCCATGGACTTAGGACACATATGTTCAAGCCCACGCCTCCAACCCTTGGGAATCCTCAGGCTGTCTACTCCTCTTTCCCACCAGGAAGACTTTCCACCTAGGAGATGGCACCCAAGAGGGTTCTCTTTACCACTTGCATCTGCCATCTGGGTCCCCCCTCAGACTGGAGGCTCCTGAGAACAGAGCTAGGTCTCTCCCATCAGACTGGGGTTTCTGAGGGCAGGGCTGGCTGTACATACTTCCTTATACTGTGCTCCTGAAAGCAGGGCTGTGTCTTCCACATCATACTGGAGGCTCCTAAGAACAAGACCCCAGCCTCCCCTCCCCTAGTTTCTCCCAGGGTCCAGGCAGCCTGCCTCCAGCACCATGCATCTCTCCCCTCACCTCAGCCTACTGAACTCACCTGAGATGCCCTTGATGGTGGTAGAGCTGGTGGTTGGAGGGGAGAAGTTGTTGTAGTTGGGGATGTGGGCAAGGGAGGACGCAGGCCAGGCCTGAGTGGGGTCAGGGCCATAGCGGTCTGCAGCCCCGTAGCCCCTGAAGTCTCCTTCCAGGCCGACATCCTCCTTGGATCCCGGCTCCAGCTTCTTGCAGAATACACAGCCCATTCCAGGTGCCTGCTACCGAATAGGGGCATGCCTCACTAGGGGGCTCTGCCAGGTGCACCGCCCTAGGCACATGTGCACGCACACGTACTCACACAGGAGGCCCCCATCAAGTCTGCCTCCCAGCTGCCTGAGTGTGTTTGGACCCCTCAGTGTGACACGTGTGCCCTCAGTGCTTCTCCCATCCACTCAAATCTGCAGCTCTGTGGCTGATTTTCTACATGGGGATGTTACTGTGTTTATTGATATAGTTTTGCCTCCAACTGCTTCGATATGTTGGGTTTCTCTGACTCCTTAAGTGTGCTTATGCATGTGTGTCTTTTGTGTGTCTCTAAGTAAGTGTAAGTTTGCTTGTGGGAGTGTGGCTCTGTGCGTGTGCATGGCTCTGTGTGTGTGCACATCTGTATGAGTGTGAGTATGTATGTGTCTCTGTGTGAGTGTGTACATGTGTGACTGTCTCTGTGTGTGGATGTATCTCTGTGCGAGCAGGCCTGTGTGAGTAGGTGACTGTGTGTCTGTAACTGTGTGCATAGCTCTGTGCGGGAGTGTATGTGACTGTCTCTGTATGCAGGTCAGTGTGAGCATGTGTGCAGTTCTCTGGGCATCTGTGTGTGTGTGTGTCTCTCTTTATGTATGTGCACGTCTACGTGTATCTGTGTGTGAGTGTGTTTGAGAGCTGTGTGCCTGCACCTGGAGATTCCCTGCAGAGGGGGATCAAGGCCATTTCCCGTTGTGGGTCCAGCCTCTGGCCTCTCAAGCTGCCTCATTCTGGCTCCCCCCATCTGTTACCTAGCAACAGGCATGTGTAGGAGGAAGGGTCTGTGAGGAACTGTGGGGACCAGGAAGGCCACCCCCACCCAATATCCTGACCCTGAAAGCCCTCCACTCCCACTCCCTCCACTCACCCCTTAGGCCCCACTTCCTGGGTCAATGGGGCCGTGGCATGGTCTTCGGGAGGGGCCAGGGACCTGAGGGCGAGAAGAAGCATGTGAAAGTCGAAGGCCCTGCCAATGTTCCTGCAAGCCAGCTGCCCAGCTCCTGCTGCCTCAGGAAGCCAGAGGGCCTGGGCTCGGCCCCAGCATGCCTCCCGCCTTCATTTTCCTTCCCAGCAACCCTGGCACACTTACACATTCACCCTCATGTAGGACACATCACCCACACCAACCCTCTCACACTCATATCCACCCGACACACCAACACAGTCACACACACACCAGCACACAGTCACAACCAACACAGCATACCCTTGCATGTATGTGCTTGCCAACCACCACACACCAACACAAACTAACTCTCGCACCAGCCCAGGCTCGGATACACAGTAGCACACACCCATATCCACACGCACACAGGCACCTCCTGGGCACACTCAGATGCTCATATTTTATACTTACCCATTGCTCTAATTGGATTTCTAGGAAGCCATGCTCAGCTCACTCAGATGCCCCCAGTCACTGTCTCCTAAAACAAGCCCCTCCCTGGCCCCTGACTCTCTTCCCAGCCCCGGCTGGGTAAACCCCAGCAGCCCCAGGGTCACATTTGGCTACGGGGCAAAGGTGGACACCTACCTCCACAGCTCTACTTCTGTCCCCACATCAGGAAAAGGTCCAGGCCAGGATCTGGGGCCACCGGGGTCCCTGGGGGAGCCTCCCAAATGAGCCAAGTCTTTCCTGGCAGTTGTTTCCTTTGAGCGACAGTGTGGATGGGTCATTGAGCAAGGGTCCCCCACCCTCCATCAGAAACTGCCATTGCAACACTCAGAGAGGAAATGGCTGGGGAGAGGGCTTGGTTTCCTAAGATGTGAGAGGAATGGAGAGCTGTGGGGTGGGGCTGACCAAGTGAACCATCATTTCTTCCCCTAGAGGGGCCCGAGGACCCTGGGGACAAGGGCCTTTGCCTTGCCTCTCTGCTTCCCTTATAGAATTTTCCTCTTCTTTCTGGGTCCTGTCCCTCCTACCCAGAATCACTCACCTTTTCCAGGAAGCCTTCCTGGATCCACCAGATCCAGCTGCCTGGCCAATGGCTCTATCACATCAGTGCCCTGACCCCAACCCTAGCCCCATCAATCCCTCTCACCCTTCAATGTGACTGTTCTCCTGCGTGTGTCAGGGGGTGGTAGTGGTGGTGGAAACATCACCCATATGGTGAACTGTGAGGCGGGCTGTGGTAAGAGGCTTGCCCTAAAATAGCCCCTATTGACCACTAGGCCGTTGCTGACAACTTCACCCCAGGATCCTTCCCCTCAGGGTGAAACCACTTCGTCTGCAAGGCCCCAGGTCACTGGTGATTAGGGCCAGGAAGGAGGATGGAGGTGGGGAAGGGAGCACCCAGGGCCTTGCTCAAAGGAATTCAGGGGCTGGCGAGAGGAGAGAACACAAGGGTTACAGGGTGAGAATAAAGGTCTCCAAATGGCATACACAGCCTACATTCAGATCCACACAACCCTCCCAACACATCCACGGACATACACATTACCTCAGCTACACACAGCACCTCACGTACAGAGACTTTGAACTCTCCTGTACAGATTCACAGACACATACATCTTCAAGTATACCCATCCACATACACACACCTCCACACACACATTCCCAATACATACACACCCACACCCATCTACACACAGATACATACACACATACGTACAGCCTCTCTACAAGAATAGCAAATACACTTCACCTGAAGTACAATAAAATATTAAAAAAAAAAAAAAAGAATAGCAAATACAGAATTTATAGCACTTACTATGTGCCAGGCATTATATTAAGCATTTTACATATAATACCCATTTTATTTTCACAACTACCCTATGAAGTATTATCATTTTTATTGTGGTTTAGTTGAAACTTTACGCAGCAAATTAGTTTCTCATTAAACAATTAATACACATAATGTTTTGTGACATTGGTTGCCAACCCCACGACACGTCAATACTCTCCCCTTCTCGACTTTGGGTTCCCCATTTCCATTTGTCCAGCTTTCTGTCCCCTCCTGCCTTCTCGTCCTTGCCGCTGGGCTGGTGTGCCCATTTAGTCTCATATATACATGGTTGAACTACGTGTGTTATGATTTGTTTTATAGGCTTGTCTAATCTCTGGTTGAAGGATGAACCTCAGGAGTGACCTCAGTAGTGAGTTAAAAGGGTGTCCAGGGGCCATACATTCAGGGTTTCTCCAGTCTCTGTCCCTTTTGTGTGTGTGTGTGGATTTGAATTTTGTTCTACACTTTTCTCCCGCCCTGTCCGGGACCCGCTATTGTGATCCCTGTCAGAGCAGTCAGCGGTGGTAGCTGGGCACCATCTTGTTGTGCTGGACTCAGTCTGGTGGAGGCTGTGGTAGTTGTGGTCCATTAGAGTATTATTATTACTGATGAGGAAACTGAGACACAGAGAAGCTTAGAAACTTGCCCAAGGTCACACAGATGATGTATCCCGGCATTTGGCTCCAGAGTCTGAGCTCTCAACCACTTCTCTTCACTGCGTGTCACAGACACGACAGTCACAGCCATTCCTGTAAGCATGCATAGATGCACAGAGCCCTCATAGGGACACGCACAGCCTCCCCCTTTCCCCTATACACAGAGCTCCTCTCACAGGGTACAAATTTATACAACCTCTACACACACAAATACAATGTTGCCACTTCCAACAGTACTGAAGTACACATTGCCACAATGGTTCTACACCAGTCCAGGGGGAGCCCTGAATTCTGCATGCCTGGAACTGGGGGGGAAGTCAGAGGCTAATAGCCTCTGAAAAGGAGGCAAAGAGCTCCGTGGGCTTAGGAAGAGCCCGGGTATGGCCAACAGCCAGAACCAATCAGGAGCCATGGTCAGCAGGCAGAGATGGGCAGCTGTCAAAGTGATAGCACTCCCAGGCTTGATGGAGGTGAAGCCCCACCTGGACCTGGCTCTCTGTGGACCATGCTGAGGTGGTTGGGGGGTGTGGGATGAGGGTATGAGGCACAAAGTCTAGTGTCTGCTAGCCTGGGGCAATGAGAGGGGTCACACTGAATGTGCCATGCTCATATGGCCGTATGGGAGAGAGATGAGGAGAGGAAAAAAAATAAAGAAGTAGAAAAAGAGACAGAAATTGTGAGAGACAAAGAGACTGAGAGAGACATAAGGACAGAGAAACGCAAGGACAGAAAGAAGAGAACAAGAGAAACAAAGTTGTGAGCTGGTAAACCAGCTCTCAGAAAAGAATAAAACATAAAAGCCTGATATGTAGCATTTGCTGATTTCCATCATGTAAATATCCCCACCATGGCTGATTTCAAGCTATTGAAGTGACTTCACTGAAGGCTGGGTTGGGAAGAAATGCGCAGAATCAGCTCTCTGGAGCCAGTGCTAGCTAGTTCCAGCACATTACTGCCAAAAAGAAACAGAGACAAAAGCGAGAGACCAAGATGAGAGGAAGAGAGAAAGAGCAAAGAGATAGACAGAGACAGAGAGGGAAAGACACACAGACAGAGCGAGAGATGAAGAGAAAAAGTCAGAGGCAGAGAACTAAAGAGACAAAGACAGAAAAAGAGAAGAGGTAGGTTGGGTCGTCTCTGCTCAAACATCTGCATGAAAATAGCCCCCAGGACTCTTCATCCTCCCCTTGCTTTGATCCCAACCACTTACCACCAATTTGGGTGGCCATAACTATTAGTAAAAACATACTAATTTATTAAACACCTACTCAGTCCCTGACAAGGTGTCAAGCAAATTCCACGCTTGATTTCATTTAACAATCCTATGAGGTAGGTTTTGTTATTACCCTATTTTACAGATGAGGAAACTGAGGCACTGAGCTGTTAAGTAACTTGCCCAAGATTACACAGCAAGTAAGGGGAGTTAAAGTGCAACCCTAATCAATGTGCACTGTTTGGGGTTAAGCATGGTTCTATTTTGTGTTCCTAATCAAAGCAATCATGTCTGTCCCTTAAGGAACACCTATTATGTGCCAGGCCCTGTGTTTCATGCTCTACATGCATGAATTTCTTAAATCTTCATTACAGCACGGAGAGGGGGAGCAATCCGCCCAGGGTCTCACAGGCAATATCTGATTTTCATAGCCCTAGAACTTGAATCCAGGTCTTTCTTTCCTCTGAGCTGAATTTGCTGCCTGTTAACACCAGAAAGCAAGCAGCTCAGAGTGGCTACAAGAGTTCTGGGCACTACAGGAACTTGGGTCTGGTTTATGAATATGTCTCTTGACTATCTGTTTGGCAGGAGTTGGCTCTCAGAGCCTCATCAAAGTCAAAAGCAGGTTGTGGGTGTACAGAGTTGACATTCAGCCCTGAACCACATTACCTCCCCTTTGACATGCTCCCCTCCCGTGTGGCCCTGCCCTAGCTTTGTGACCTTAGAGGAATGTCTTGTTTCTTTTGTGTGTGAGGCAGAAGTGACTTGCCTGAGGTTACACAGCCAGATAGGCGACACAAAGCCAGGACTCAGGTCCAGAGTTCTGTTGCCAATGCCATGGCAGCATTCTCTAAAGCCTGAGCAGGAGGTCATGCTGTCTCTGCCAGGTGAACATCACACTTCCTACCCAGCCCCTGGTCAACTGAACACACCACCTCTGTCATATGGTAGCTGGCCACCTAGTAGGGAGCCACCTTCCACCACCCAAGGGTGAGGCCCACTCTACTCCTGGTGGCCCCAGGCCCACCCATTCTTCCTTTCTTTCTTTTCAATTACTGGTGGTTTGATGACTTTATTTTTATTGTATATGTGGGTAGGGACAGATGACAAAATGAAATAATGCTAATACTTTAAAGAAACATTATCAAAAATATATGCAAAACCTTAGTCTAAACATGAGAGGATATATTTCGAGATTTAGAAGTATACTGTGATCTCAAGTTTAACAATACTTTTCTCTTTGAGACAACACAATTCAAAATGTACATAGCCTAGTGATGTTATTTTAATTATCTGTATGTTTTTGCCTCATCCCTTGGGTAAAGGGTAAAGATGAATACAAAACTTGCTGCATACCTGCAGAGACCAAAATTACATTTAACATATTGCTCCGTTTGAAATGGGAAATAAAAAGACATAAAGTCAGAAAAGAAACAATATAGGGCAAATTTAGAAGTGCCTTGTTATGGATTGGGAGCTCTGGTGGCGCAATAGTTGACAGCTATGGCTGCTAACCAAACAGGTCAGCAGTTCGAATCCACCAGCTGCTCCTTGGAAACTATAGGGCAGTTCTACTCTGTCCTATAGGGCCGCTATGAGTTGGAATTGACTGGACAGCAAACAGGTTTTGTTATGGATTGAATTGTGTCCTCCCAAAAGTATATGTTGTGAATTTTAACCCCTAGACCTGTGGTTATAATCCCATTTGGGAATGGGTTTTCTTTGTTATGTTCATGTGGCAGCATTGGAGTAGGGTGTGTCTTAAATCAATCTCTTCTGAGATACAAAGTGAGCAGATTAGACCCAGAGAAGCAGAGCAGAGATGGGGAAAGACAGATGCCACACCACACGAAGATCACCAAGGAGCCAAGGAACAGAGACGAGGACAAGCAGAAGACACAAAGACCTTCCCCCAGAGGCAACCGAGGGAGAAAACTTTCCCCAGCACCCTGATTTCAAGACTTCTAGACTCCTAAACTGTAAGAAAGTAAATCTCTGTTTGTTAAAGCCATTTGGGGTAATTCTGTTATATAGCAGCATTAGATAACTAAGACATGCCTTATCTTCCTGCCACCCAGCCTTTCTTGAGGTCACACTTCCCGAAGCCATGTGAGGATTTTTGGTGTGTCTGTGAAATCTGGAGACAGATTTAGGGTCAAATTCTATCCTGCCTGCCAACTAGCTTGAGATCTTGGACAAGTAACTTCTCTCTGAGATGCGGGCTCTTTGCTTATAAAATAGTATACAAATCTCTACGCCACAGGGTTGCTTCCAAGCATCCAATGAGGTCAAGCCCCTGAGAGTACCAGAGACACAATAGGTGCTCAATGAACTTTTGCTTCCCCTCCTTTCCCTTGAGGAAGGTCCCTCCAAGGCAGAGTCAGTGGAGGGCCAGGGACAGGGCTGGGCAGGGGCAAGAGAAGGAGAAGTTCCCAGGGTGAAGAGGGGAGGGGTAAGCTGGCCCAGATGCCTGGGGGATTTCACCAAAAGGGAACTGGGACTTGGGGCAGCTGCAGGAAACCACCAACCTGCAAGAGTTCCGGGTTCTCCTCAAGACCCTGGGCAGGTCAGGAGGCATGCCAAGGCTGGAGAGGCAAGGAGGCGAACAAGTCTAAACTCTGCAGGCCACCTCAGCCCCCTGCAACCCACCCCTTACCAAGACCTGAATCCCCTGATTGAAGATCCTCCCTGCCTCACCCTCAGACCTCTCACTGAACCCCAGTGCCCATACTGAGCCCCATCCCCCTCACTGAGGTCCCCACCTCTCATTGGGCCTCCATCTTCCTTACTGAATAGTATTCCTTCTAGAGGCCTCACAACCTCCCAGCCTTGAATGCCTAGGGCCTAGGCAGAAATGCCCCAGTCTGACTTTACTGCCCTGGTGGGGCCAGGTGTGCGCTACAGGGGGTAGGGAGGGATGAGGTGGCCTATCTGCCTTGTCAGCTTTATGCTCCACTTGGTCCTGAAGGTACCAGCTGAGTTTTCTCCACTTTTTTTGGGTAAAAGTGGTTTCCCATCTGTTGCTGAACACCCACCAGCTTCTAAAACATGTGTCTTCAGTCCCACCCGGCTTGGGACACAGGTTCTCAGGAGATGGGAGCTATGGATGTCCAGGGAGAGCTGGAGGATTGGAGTCTAAATTCCCCAGTGAGGCCAGACAGGAAGCCCCCCACTAATCCTGGAGAGTTATCCTGCCCTCTCCCACCTGAGGCCAGCCCAGTCTGTTCTGTGCACAAAGGCCCTGGCTCCTTCTCCTCCTGCTATGCACCCCCAACCCCA